CATAAATCGCTCCTAAAAAACCTGTGTGTAATATTTTCATACATTCAATTGTGCTTTCATGGCACTAGCCATGCCCCTTGACGTTGTTGCAGTTTCAGATGCAGCAAAGCCATTGTTGGCGCTCTCAAGTGTTGGTGCCACACACCCACACAGGGCACATGGCGCACGGCACACTGCGACTGCGACTGCGACTGCAGTTGCACTTAAGTTGTTGCAGCAGGAGCCCGTTGTTATTCCAGTGTTTGTTATTTCGCTTCTTTGTGCACCGTCTGGCATTATAATCTCCATCCATAGTTGCCACCGAGTGGCGTGGAGACAGCGGGACAAATATAGAGACATACACTCACTTGACACGTGGTTGTTTTCATTTTTTTAGAGGATTCAGTTTGTTTTGTGCTGTGTGTCTGCCGGTGACAGGCTGCTGACAGGCGAGCAACTGTGGAGTAGAATGCATACATTTTCTGCTGGATTCAAAAGTTAATAAAGAGTTAACCCAGTTGCAGTTCAAAGAGAGCTGATTAGATTAGTAAAAGTTACCACTCGCAGCTAATAATAATTCCCATTCAGGGACTTGGACCAAGGCAAGGACATTCCAACACCTTTGGCTCTGCTAATTATCCGAGCTCCGAGCTAAGAGACGGGGCTGGCTGGCTTCTATTTGACTGCATTCCTTTCATGTCAAAGCATTTAATTATAATTCCACATTTACGAACTTGTTCGCTCCACTCTTTTTCTGCTTTTCTGTTTCTCAGTTTTTCTGTTAGACCTTTGCGTTATTTATTTATGCATTTACCTGTACCTTTGGAGTGTGCCAGCAGATGCAGGTGGAGGTGCAGGCTAGCAGGCAGGCAGGCAGGCAGGACTTGTGGGGCCAGCTGTCATGGCTGCTCGTTCGTTGTCTTAATTCATTTTTTATTTCTACGTATATAAGCTGTAAATTACAACTTCTGTTCCTGCTGTTCCCGTGCTTCTGCTCCTGCTCCTGCTGTCCTTTGCATATTTTGTATGATTCCCGTGTTGCTTGTTTCTCTTCCTGCCTCATGGAAAATGCAGTTCCATATTTGTATACCCTTGCAGAGAGTATTCTGATTTTTCACAGACTCAGAGAGGAAATTATTTTTCTTATGATTAGCATGAACAGACGACTTATGTACTTGTACCTACATATATCCTTGTGTCCTTTTGTATGTTTCTATCAAAAGTAGTGAATCAGCTTTAACCTGGGGGACAATGGTTCAAAATTGATCAAATTTGTTACTTTTTACCAGTAAGTGGAATCTTCAAGGGTATCTATAGCTTCGGCAGCCGTCGCTGCCATCACTTTCCCCCAGCTTTTGCTGTCGCTGTTTAATTTAAAGTTTTCCCCCCGAATGGGGGCGAGTAACTGCACTTTGGGGCGACGACAACTGTGGGTGTTGTCATAACTGCAAATCGGCTACTGACATTTAGCTACTTAACGTTCGCTCCCGGGGCTCCCGGGCCGAGCATTCGGGCATAAAAGCGGCTCGCAACTGTCTATGAACATCTGATGGAAGAGCAGAGCGAAAAACAGAGAGGGCCGGCCAGGCCGAAGAATGGATGGGTGAAACGCAGTCGGAATTATGTGGAAAATTGAGAAAATGTTTCTGCTGTGCGAAGGCACTTTAATTGCCCGTGGCACTCGGCGCCCCCCTGCACTGGACAACTGGTCATTAAGGGCCCGTGCCGTAGTACCCTCGAACGAGTTACGGAACTTGTTGAGTGGTCATGATGACGAACCAGGGCCGTGGATGGAGTGGTTGGAGTGAATGGAGAAATGAAGCCAGAGCTGGGGGCAATTGTCGTTAAGGTGCTTAGAGTAAGGCGTTGACTATTTGAGGTCGTCTAGCAGCGGCTATTTACGGGCTTCGCCAGCCAATGTCTTCATTGGGATTGGAGCAACCGAAAGGTATTACAGGAGCTTCAAAGTATCGGCCAGTAATGATGGGGCTTACCCGTACATCAAAAACTATTCGAATTACTTGAATTAGTACAGCATTTTTCGTCTACTTAAATGTAGTATACCCAAAGGATCAACATTTTACTGACGAAAAACCCAAATTAAACTTTTAGAATATTTGCTAGATTTTTGTATTTATTTTCGTTTTCTATTTTTTGTTTTTCTTTACTGTGAAAATGTTGTTTCCTGGGCAGGAGCGAAACCAGACAACAGCCACATTCTCTGGGAAAACTTATTTACACAAACTCAGTTTTTGTGCTTCTGCCAACACAGAGATGCACACCCACACTAGTGCACAGGCACACAGGCACACAGGCACACAGGCACACATGGCTGGCCACAGTACAGTGTGTCGACAGGGAAAAAGTCAACGTGTTTTTGCACACGTAAAATCCAAGGGTTTGTAATATGGAAAATAACTTCAATTACCAGCAGCAGTCATAATATTTTGCTTGTTTTTCTTTACTCATTCATTTTTTGTTTGCTAAAAGAATCAGACAGAAAGAGATGAATACAGAGAGTGAGAGCGAGAGAGAGAAAGAGTAAAAGTTGCATTAAAAATGGTTGTTAAAATACACAATGCAATAATATCACAAAAGGGAAATGAATGCACTGGATGTTTCTGTTTCAGGTGTCTGTCTGACCCGACCAGATGCTTTTATTAACGAGAAATAAAATCCCCGAAAAGGAAGTGCTAGAATCAAAAGGCAGGTGGGGGGGAAAAGGGAAAAACACACGCTTAAAACTAATAAGAAAAGCGCTTAAGTGGAGTACTTCGGCAGCTCTTTAGATTTATAAATACCTTAAATACAAAATTCTTGGGCTACCTAAATAATCTCCTGTTTTCTCTATTGTTTAATGGTTATCGGAAAATACAACGACAGAATGTATGTGATGTATGCCCAAGAGATAAATATACAGAGAATTGGAGGTCTACTCTGCTTGTTGAGAGCCGCTTATTTGAGTTTCCTATTGTTCATAGTTATTCATACCATAACTTACCACTTAAGCCCTTAGTTTTACGAGCATGGTTGAGTTGTTATTCGTGATGTCCGAAACCTAAACAACCGCAGGTTTACCTGTTGTAATATAACCTGTAAATCACCAATAATAAATAGCCCATATATATTATAAATAAATTCAATGTTGAAGATAATACAGTGCACAAGCTCGTAACCACCGCTTTTAAATAAGAACAATCTCTGGAAGAGGAAGGCATGTGCCGTGTGTGCCTGAGGACCAAACGATTTGTTGTCTGCACAATTTTTGTTTTCATTTCAACTTTCAGTGGAAGTGGAAGTTACAAATTTGAACTTTAAATTTCAACGTCAACACAATGACAGGGGGATGGCAGTAGCGTAGGGTAGTGATGGGGACTGCGTCGTCTTTGCGGAGGTGGGAGGATAGCAAGAAAAGAAAAAAAAACTTGCAGCCTGCAGCAAACACATTAAAACAAAGTTTTTAAAAGCAACCACAACATTTACGTCATGTGCAATGTGCGGCGGCCGTCGTTGTTGCCAAAGTTGAAGCCGCCTCCAGGGCCCGACCCCACACACGGATCGGGGTGTGTTCCCCTGGTGAACACATGGTGTATGGTGCTATATGGATTGGTGGGGCAACTTTAAGGCGTGCTCCGGCTCTGGTTGCTGCACCAGCATCAGCTCCAGCTCCAGCTCCAGCTCCAACTCCACTCGCAGTTTTTATAGTCAAAAGCCAAGTTGTTTGGCCAACAACAATCGCCATTTGCTGCCACATGTTGTAACTGTTGCCGCATTAAATGTGCACCAGGCACCATCCCATCCCGCTCCGCCGCCTGACTGCTGCGTTGCATTTCACTTTTATACCCCACTTTTATGCCCCACCCGGCATCCCGATGCACCCTTCGGCCACATTAGTTGACTCTGCACAGTGCACAGTGCACCACCACTACCACTACCACCACCACCACCAGCAGAGCACAGATTTCACTCCATTTTATGTTGTCAGACTTCCGAGTGTGCATTGCCGTGCCGTGCCGCCGCTGTGTTGTTATAAAAATGCCAAATTCATTCTCAGCATATAAACTTTAACCCTTACATGGGTGTGCATGTGTGTCTCTCTCTCTCTCAGTGTGTGTGCGCATCTGTGTATGTGTGAGTGTGTGCTGTTTATGCTTCCCCGCTGGTCGGGTCGGGACTGACATCTTTAGTTAATTTCGCAGCCGCAGAACTGAAACGAAAGGGACACCAAAGTGAAACTTTAGGAGATAGTAAAAGGGATTTGAAAAAAAGAAATATCAGAGCTAACCAAATGGATTTAATCTAAGTCTAAAGGAAACGAAATGCCAGCAAAGAGCAAGCACTTAAGCGATACACGCGTACACCAAATGCCTATAAAACACATGAACATATATTACAACTAAAAGTAACCAAAAACACATGAAATTCCCTTTTAAATATAAATCTAAAAGCAGCTTCTGCAAGCAAAAACAAACAAAAAATAATTGGTTTTGAAAAAGAAATAAATAAAAGTTTAAAATTGAAATATCATAAAATAATAGAGATTTTTTTTAATACAATATTAGGATAAATAGGGAATTCATTATGATTCTAACTAAAAGCAAACGTCATAAAATCAAATACAATATTTTTTGAGAATTCCTGCCTGCAAGAAATAATATGTAATATAATTTTTCCTTTTTCATTCATATTTGCAGCTCGCTAAAATGATTACCTAAAGGCAGAATCAGTGCAAAAAACTACAAAAACTAAAAGGAAATCAAATAAATACAGCTGCACAAAAAGGGAGAACAGCTTATAAAAAAAACATACATAGTTTAATTGGAACTGAAAAACCCAGTAACAAATAAATACAAATTTTTATAGCCGGAGGGGCGAGAAACAAATCAGAGAAACCAAAATCTAAAAAAAAGAAAAAATACGTAACTGAAACCACCGCAGAAATCGCTTTAGATTACAAAAAAATAAAACAAAATAAAAATACCAAATACTAAAAACCAAAAAACAAATATAAAGACAACAAAATGACGCTGCGCATATCGGCCAAATCCAAGCATCAGCGAGGACTCATCATCTATGGCTTTGTGCTGCTCCTGACGACAGCCACCCGGGCAGGACGGATCTTTGGTAAGTTTCGGGTTGAAGTTAAACATAATTCAAATGAATGGGAAAGGGAAAGGGCAAGGAAAAGGGAAAGCAACCCTCCCAGAACCCTACCAGTCCACTCCGCTCCCTTTGAGAGGAAATCAAATTATCTATTCGTGGTTTTGCGGCACTAATTAACGCGGGCAGTTTGCAGCTAATGGAATTTTTAATGCCGCAAAGACGCAATTTGTAATCTGTTCTCGAAAGGACTCTACCCCGCCCCCACACTCTCTGAGGTTTCTTTTCTTGTATTGGTTTCGGGTCAAATGGGGCATGGGGCAGATTGACAGCGGAAGTTGTGGGCCACTAAGTGTATGTGTGGGGCTCATGTTCTTTTCGTATTAATTATAATTACAGAAGGTCGCCTTTTTATGCCCGCCGACGTCGTTTACATTAATGAGGGACGTCAATGTCAAAAATAAACAAAAGAACACACACACATATCTCACTGTCTCCCTCCCTCCCTTGGCGTTTCTCCTCCCAATTGTTGTCCTGTTCTATTGGAAATGCCGACGCTGTGGTTTCGGCTGCCATGTTTTCTCTCTCGTTTTCTTTTTTTTTTGGCATTGTTGTTACTTGGGTGTACATTTTTATCGGGTGTGTTTGTTGATGTAATGAAAATAATTACATTTCTTGTACGTGGTTTGCAGTGCACACTGAACAGGAAAAGTCCCGGAAAAACAAGCAGCTAACAGGATTTCAGTATGGGGCAGTACCAGGAAGTACAGGGAAACACACACACACTGAGAGTGAGATAGAGACAGAGAGAGAGAGCACAGCCCGAACTAATTAACTGACAAATAAATAAGTAAACATGAAAACAGTTTTGTACACATGGCGATAATTTACATTTAATTATGGCAGCATAACTAGTTCCACACGATTTCAAATATCAAGTGAAGGGGTTGTCCTGAAACAACCTCCACCCGAGTAGAGTCGAGTCGAGTCGAGTCTCTAATTGCAGTCAGGTTTTGTCATAGTTGGCTCTCGGTGTGGTCCCTGCAGAACCATTAGAGAGCGGCCAGAGAGCCCAGCATGAGCATCTGGCACTAGAACAGTGAGAACAGAAACATTTTCAAACCAAAAATTTTGTTGACACACATTTTTTCATGACCGTCGCCCGCCATTCCGGGGTTGCCATTTCCAGCGAGGCCCCAAAAAGTATGCTACGAAAATGTGCACGCAAATGAGTTCGCAGTTCGCTCGTCATCAAGAGCCGCAATAAAAAAGCGGGCGGCAAACAAAAACCAGAAAAACGAAAGCTCACTTTATGGGCCGAAACTTTGGATACCCTACGAGCTTACGAGCTACTATTTTAAATTTTTCCCTCACATTATTTATAAACAGAGGAGCGATGCTAACGAGAGACGCTTAGAGGAAACCCCTTCCTTCTTTTGATTTGCAAAAATCTTATAAAAATCAAAGTATCCTCCGCAAGAGTATGAAAAACGCGAGAGATAAAGAGGAAGAGCCGGGAGCATAAAAAGCCGTGAACAAACCAGCACACATGCAAACAATGGCGATTACCGATAGCTTTCTGTGTGTGTGAGTGTGTGTGTCTCTGTGTCTGCATTGGCATTAGGCTGCCAGTTGGCGGTGCTTTTTGTCGGCCATTTTAATGTGTGTCTGCAGCCCGCGCAGCATCAACAAAAACAACAACAACAGCAGCAGCAATAAAACTACAAGCCGCACACACACACACACAAACACACGCACTCCGTGGCACACAGTTAAATACATATATAAAATACATATACGCTCGACCATGAAAGCGAAAAGTTTACGCGCTTGTTTGCTATAATTTCGATTGTTTTCACTGCAGCAGCAGCCACCCAGCCACACAGCCACGCCTTCTCCCAGAGAGTCGAACGCCTTCCAGTTCCTGCGACAACTGTGCACCATTTGGCAGCAATTTTCGTTTTATTGATGTGCGATGCGATGCGATGCAACAGCGATGCTGCTGCTGTTGGTGCTGCTGTTGCTATCAGAGCGAAAGTTTGATGCTGCTGCTGCTGCTGCTGTTGCTGTTGCAAGCACAACAAAAGCAACACCAACAGTCGTCACAAAAATAAGTAGCACACACACAGGGAGAGACTTTTACTTGCAACTTTTGTTTGCGTTATGTAGTTGCGGTTAAGTGCGAGAAATTTATGAAAAACTTTTGAAAATGTTTTCGTAATTAAAGTTCTCCACAATGCGACGCACACAAACAAAACGAAACAAAACAAAACCAAACAAAACCGAAACCGGCAACAAAGCATTGACAAAACTGAGGGGTACTTGGTCTACTTTCGCCTCTAACGTTTTCACAGCTCGGGCTTAAGTGGCCGTGTAACTGCAGCTAGTCGCAGCTAATTGTTGGCTTAAATGATGCCACACTGGCAAGCAGATTGTGCGCGAGATGGAGATGCATAAAGCCAGGACAAAAGAACTGCCGGCTGAAAGTTGTTTTCCAAGTCGAGAGCTTCATCCGTCACCACAATGGAGCTCCAGCTTAATGGAGAACCAATAAAAGCAATGGTTATGGCTTGGTGTAGCGGCCCCCATGAATAAGTCAGCAGATCTGCCAGAAAATACCAGGTGAATAGGCAATTTTTGCCGTCAAGGCATATTTATTGAACCGGCAGCTAGTGGCACGTGCCCCCAGTCTAGGAACTCAGCCCACAGTCACCTCTCTCTCGTCCCATCTCGATTTAGTCCCGCATTGGGCGAAAATTGGTAAAGTGAATGCCTGAATGTCACCATGGCGTGTCGCCCCCTCCTTTGTTTCCAGCTATTAGCTCGACTTGAATGTCCCTTTTCCGGTTTCACACATCTGCAATTACAGCACACAGCCACACCCAACCACAGTTGACAAAGCTTATGAGGGGACACCCACACCCACACCCCCACCACAACACACACCGCACCGCACCACACCCAACCGCACTTGCCAAAGTGTATTAGAAGTCGTTCGGGTGTCGCACGTCGCAAATCGTTTCGCTTTTGTTTTTAAATTATTCATGTTATGTCTAAGAGCAAACAGCGATTTAGGACTCCCTCGATTCGAGCCCGCACGCACTTTATATTCAGCTCATTACAACAATGCCGAACCGAACCATTGGCGACATCAACAGCAACAGCAACAACCACAACACAGCAGCTACGGGAACGAAGGGAAGGAAATTGTCTGAGATTTTATTTAGTGTAGGCGACGCGTCCTTGGTGGCTATCCTGTCTGGAGTAATTTCTTTATTAGATTCATTCAGCCCTCTTGCAAATTTTCACTTGCCCCAGGCAACAGCAACAGCAGAGGCAAAGCCAAGAGTAGCTAAAAACAATTTTCCAAATTAGTTTTTGCCTCCCTTTCAGGCGAGGAAGTCTTAAAAGAAAAAGCAAAAATTGCTCAAGAGTTACATTGAATCTCAGGATTAAGAGTTAGTTTCGCACATCCTCGAACAATCTTTAAGGCATTCTTAAGGAGACCCACAGCTTAAACGCAAACTCTTCTGTGGAGAAAGATCGGAGCTAGAAAGAACATTGGCTGGGGATTCCTTATATTTCCACCGGAATGAAAATTGGAAAATTCTTTGAATTCCCTCTCCAAAATCAAACAGAAATGGCAAGTCCAACCGCATTTACCAAATAAAGGGGCAAATAGGAACTGCTTTGACATTTGTTTGGTTTGCCAGAGCCATCCACACGAGCGCCACCACTCCATACAATGGTAAATAGTGCGGAATATTTGATGATGCAACAACAGAACAGTAGCACCCACAAAAAAGGCGGACGAAAAAGAAATATACTGAACCCAGCGCGGGAAATAGAAAATAGTTCTTCCAACACTGGCGTACAATGCAACTGCAACTGCAACTGCCATGGAAATGGCAATGGCAATGTCATCGAAATAGGCCAGCAAACGTGGGCTTTTCATAATTTATGCGGATGGCAAATTTAGACAGAGCGCCCACAAATAATACAATGCAGAATGGGGCAGATAGGGGCAGAATGCCAGAGCGGGGGAGACCGCCGGAGGCACACAATATGGCTGGCTGACAATTTGATGGTTCATTGTTCTGCTGGGTGTGCTATTGGCATTTTCAATTAATGGAAAAATGCCAAAAGGACAACAGCAGCAGCAGCAGCAGCCACTTTCCTATAGCACTACCTCTAATGGGGTGGACCTGCAACTGCAGCTGCAACTGGAGCTCTGGAAAATACGACACATGCATATCAATTAGCAAGTTCGAGGTGCAGTACGAGATCCAGGGAATAAAATTTGATTATTTGTTACGATTCAGTGCAGTGCAGTGGAGTGGAGTGGAGGCCAAACTGCAAACTGAAAAACTGTAACCAATCAAGCGTTAAGAGTCCTAGAAATCAGAAATCATGAATCCGATATTGGATATTGGATATTGAATATGCCTCTCCTATTACGTATACGCATACGTATACAACGAGTGGATTCATATACTGCTTGTTTGCTGCTACGCAGTTGACTTTTCCCGACGGTCGGTTGGATGTCATAGCCTGGCACGGCATGGCAAAAATTCAATTAAAAATCAAAAATGCCAAAGTCTCTTTCTCGTTATGCATACATGTACATATATGTATATCATCTGCAACTAACAAAAACTACGGACTGCCTAAAGTCCAGAATCACAGAACCGAACCACCCGACATTTGTGTACGTGAATGTGAAAAATATTGGCAAATAATAATGCCATAAAAACCAACGGGGAAACTATTCCAGACATATCCAAATGAAAATCTCCTTTGTAAAAAATAAACCAAATTGTTGTCATAGAGATGGGTGGACGAGGCGGCATGCACTTTCTTGTTTTTTGTTTGAGTTTTCACACAGTTTTCCCAGGCAAAAATTTGCAAATAATATTTTACGCTCTTTACACAAATTTTCTACTACGCTGGCTACCAACTATGCTGCGCTGTTGGCTTTAGCTTCTGCCTTTGTTCTGGATGCTGCTGTTGCTGCTGCTGCTGTC